TGATTGGCACAAGACGATCGGCACAAGACGATTGACCCAAACATTTCGATTGACACAAGACGTTTATCCACTAGACCACAACCGCACTTTCTTCCAACGCTTTCTTATTTTAAGACTTGTAGGGAAGATAGTGACAGTTAGGAACGCATACAGTGACCACTTTTGTATTAGGTTGATGCATAAGTCTTTTCGTTTTTTTCGTACTTCTGTTAAAAAGTAACAAATTCACCAATTAATCTATAGTTTGCTCTATAAAAAAAGTGTTTTTTTGTTCAATTTCCATCTTTTTAAATGAATTTCGGTTCACTTTCAAGCAAATTCGAGAGTGAAAAACGCCTTTTTCGTAAAAAATCTATAAAAAACTCCACGGAAAAATTGGCTGAATGAATTTCTCTGAAATTTTGGCGAAATATCAAACTTTTTTTTCTCTATCTTTTATCTATTGACACGAAGATAGGTTTTCTTTAGCTAAGGTGTCTAAACCGCATCATCGAGTTTGACGCATCATCGAGTTAGCCCTTTTTGACTACCCGACTTCATACTCTCAAGAAAATCCAGGCATAAAATATTTTTAAACCCGTTTTAATGTTATTTTGCAGAAAAAATAATTGGTTTTTCTAATGAAATCAACCGTAGTTTAATTGGTGCATTTGTTGGCTTGAAACGGCAGACGAAAAGGAACAAAAAGACTTATGCATCAACCTAATAGATAGATTTAAGCTTATAAGGTATGTGCTAAAACTTTTGTGCCAAATAGCTTGCGTTTGGGCGACCGAGGGCAAAAATTATATACATATTCGTGATCAGCATGGATTCTATAAGATCCATTTGATCTCAGCTCAATCTGAAATGCCGACCTGAAGGTCCAAATCCCGACCCGACCTGAAGGACTTGTTAGATGTTGTACTTGTGTATTCTTTGTACCAAACTATTCGTGTGAAGAAATGTGCACTATTTGGCAGCTAAATAATTAAATGAAAATTGGTGCTGCTTTTGCAGACAAATTTGTGTCGGCTTTTGCTTTTTTGATCTAAAAAATATCTATTTTAAGACTTGTATTAAAGCTAGTGACAGTAAGGAACGCATACAGTGACCACTTTGGATCCGTACCGTATTTTCTCTAATAGTAGTGCACCCTGAGCTTTGCCTAACATGCTCGTACAAAAACGCCTAACAAATTCTCTTTAGTGCACCCTGAGATGCACCGGTTTCGCTGCCTAAATTGCTCGAAATCTCGAGAACCGCTTATCAGAACCTATCGCTTCAGAACCTATCGATGTGAAGTCGGAAAATGTAGCTGACGATGAGATCTAGTGGGGGATTAGAGTGTTGAGCTTCTGCAAAAGCTTGGAAACCGTAAAATAGCCATCAACTCCGCTCGCCCGGGTGCACTACTATTAGAGAAAATACGGTAATTAGTCTATGATTAAATTAAGATAAACATATTAAGCATTAGTCTTTTCAATTTGCTTATATACTATTACTCTGACTACAGTAGTTTTACCATGCTATAGTCTGTCTACTCGCAAAAATCGGCACCTACAATGCTTCAACTTCAACTCGAAGTGCTCTAACTTTTTGCATATCCAGTCGATATGCATGTTCTTCGTATCAAAATGCTTGAAAATGCTCTAGTTTAATAGTTAGCACTTTTATTGTTGTTATTTTTTCGATATAGGTGAGTTATGAATGGTTAAAGGCAAGAAAACCCCATTTTTTTGACTTAGAAATCCTTAGAAATGACTTAGAAAAGAAATCAACCCGTAAAATAGTCACCAACTCGGCTCGCTGGGGTTCACTACTAGAGTAGGTTCACTACTATTAGAGAAAATACGGTACTCAACTTTCCAAGGATTGTTTTTTTTGTTGCCAAAATCTGCCTCAAAAGTTCAAACCTCTCATCTCTCAATTAGATAAAATCGGCTGCGGTTGGCAAGTAAACGCCACAGTAAGATTCTCCTAAAAACAATAAACTTTTTGTTTCTTAAATAACAATCATTGTTTTAAGTGGATTTTGAACGAATACATTTGTATATTTTACGTCCGATTAAGAATTTCGCCCGACTAAGACTAAGAGCGTCCGACTAAGACTAGGAGCGTCCGACTAAGACTAAGAGCGTCCGACTAAGACTAAGAGCGTCCGACTAAGACTAGGAGCGTCCGACTAAGACTAGGAGCGTCTGACTAAGACTAAGAGCGTCCGACTAAGAGTGTCGTCCGAATCGAACGTCCGATTTGAAAGGTATTCTTAATCGGACGTCCAATTAAGAATTTATCGAATCAATTGTGTAAAAATGTGAAATACTCAATGTGAAACGATGCAAATCTAATTTTCTTTCAGGCATTTACTAGTGATTCCTTTATTGATGTTATATTGAACGGTCCATGCAGTAGTGTTGTTTCCCCTTTGATAGGTACCAAAAGATATACTAAAGATACTATAGAATAAAGATTTCCTGAAAAGATCTTAAAATTAAGAAAACAGATTATTGCAACCAGTTAACAAAGATATAAAAAGACCTCAAGATCAGCGTTTGCGCGTTCTACACTATCCTGTCGAGGGTTTCCGGGAATCAATTTGCAATTAGGTAAATTATTCTTTAGGTTAAGCATCAAAACGAACTTTTATTAGATTTTGAATTAGATTTGCATTGAGCATTTACATAATTAAGTCGATTAATCCGATTAAGAATCCGATTAAGGACGTCCGATTAAGAATACATTTCAAATAGGACGTCCGATTTGAATACATTGTTACGGCATTTTCTCTAATAGTAGTGCATCCTGAGCGTCACCTAAATTGCTCGAAATCTCGAAAACCGCTTGTCAGAACCTATCGATGTGGGGTCGGAAAATGTAGCTGACGATGAGATCTTGTGGGGAATTTGAGTGTTGAGCTTCTGCAAAAGCTTGGAAACCGTAAAATAGCCACCAACTCCGCTCGCCCGGGTGCACTACTATTAGAGAAAATACGGTATATAGATTTAAGCTAACAAACAAGCTCTACTATCTCAATCAAGCACTCAGCCAGCCCTTTCTTTTCAAAAACCAAGAAGCAATTTGCTTGTCAAGAGAAAGATTTGAAGCTTGAACAAACTGTGAAAGAGATATCAGCTGTAATCGGTGGACAACAGCACAACAGCCGTGTCCCCCTCCTCTCACTTTTATCCATTATCTCCTCATTTCACTTCTCCATTCCTTCTCCCATCTCAAATCTCAAATGTGGCTCCTTAAAGACCAATTAATTGTCTCCCATTCACTTTTCACTTTTCTTTTCCCAATTCATCCCATCATCAATCACGTTAAAACAACTTTCCAACTAATTCGCGTCTCGTTGGACGATAAAAACCTCCACTCAAATGCCTCCAGGGCTGTCAAATGGAAAATAAACACTTGAAATGTTTTTGGGGATCTAGAAAAGAAAGAGATTACTGTACAAGAGGAGAACTTTAATTGAAAACTTTGTATGAACAAGAGAAAAATGGGAAATGCTGCTTTAGAGTAGAAGCAAAGGTGAGTTTATGTAAGGCTTATCCACTTTCAGTTATATAATATGCCATGCTAATTTCCTAATGAAATCTAGAGATAGTTCTAAGCCTATAGGATAGTTTTTTGTATTCTGGTTTGATTTTTGAATTGTTGAGAATGACAAGGACCTTCTTTATACTGTATCGGGACGATAAACTTCATTCTTGCTTTCTCACTGGCCACTTCTATAAAAGAAAGCTATTTATAACTCTTCTAGAGAATGTTACATTCTCGGTAGGATTTTCCCTACTTTTCTGCTATATCCCTACACTTTATTCCACTGTCAGCACTATCAGTATTGTTTTATTTTAAAAGTAAATTTCAAATAATTTCCATTATTATTGACGACTTCTGCCCATTTTACAGGCAATTTGCGGATTCCTCTTTCGTAGTAGGATTTTGGTTTGTGTATGAGACAAGTGTGAGACTCAAAAATGGAGGACTGGAGATGTCAGCTGTCAGCCCAGTTTGAGCACTTTCTTCAAAAGAAACCCATTTTGGTGTTAATAGAAAAGTTGTAGAGAATCAAAAATTAGGCTTATAGCCAAATTTCCAAAAAGATACACTGAGTAGTTTCGCTTAAAATGCAAGTTTCGTATTCGTGAATGTGAAAATTCGTAAATTTGGTATTTCTTGAAAACCAGTTTTTGAATCGTTCTGAAAATTTGGATATAAGCTTGATTTTTGATTCTCTACAACTTTTCCATTGACACCAAAATGGTTTTCTTTTGAAGAAAGTGCTCAAACTGTCACATATGACAATAGCCCGCAGTTTTCAATTCACCAACCCAATATTTGTAATACTGTATAAGCTTTTACTTTGCAAATTCAAAATTGAACGTGAAAATGTTTATTATGCAAAAGGCCACCCCAAAAAATACCATGAAAACAGTAGAATATAAAAGCTGATATCACAATCTTTAGACAAAAAAATAACGAAACATTTTGTGTAATGAGATTTCAAGGAACTGAAAGTGAAGCGAATGGTTTTTGGTATAAAGAACTTGGGCAAAAAAAGAGAAGGAGAAGACAAATAAAGCAGTGCACAAAGGAATACCTGAGAAATAGAAGCTGTTAAAAAAAGAAAAGCTGAAGAAAGAAAGAAGAAGCTGAAGAAAGAAGAAGCTAAAGTTCAAAAGTGTAATCTCAATGAATGAAGAAACAGATTTTGAATCATAAAACTTACATATCAGCCAAGCTAGGACAGAAGAAATCGGTCATCTATCGCACTTTCTATCGCCATCTATCGCCATCTATCGCATTTCAAAGTTTAAACGCAAATTTCTGTACCAAGCTTGCCTTGTTTAATAGAATGTTTAATCGAAAAACCAATAATCTTCACAACCAATTGATCTTCGCAACCAATTGATCTTCACAACCAATAATTTTCGTTTTACGTATGATTACGTACGTTTACAATAAATGAGGTAAAGAGTATAGCTTGCGTAAAAGCTTTTTTCGATGTAGAACTAATGTGATTGAGTTTGCCAAATCGAGAGCGCAATGTAGGCGATCCATAAAAGGACGAAGAAAACGCCAGAAGCGATCCTTGGCACAGTTGGCCCGCCCAACTCGCCACGACCGAAATAATCCAACATTCTTCGCGCGACCAACACCACCAAGAAGATTATCGAGAAGAAGGTGAACACGGCGACACTGAAATGAAAGATTTAAACGGGTGAAGCATTCATTTACTTGATTATTCATTGAGTTAATCGACTATTGCAGCTGACTGTGCTACTATGGCAGCTGATTGTGCTACTATGGCAGCTGATTGTGCTACTATGGCAGCTGATTGTGCTACTATCGCAGCTAATTGTGCTAATATCGCAGCTGATTGTGCTACTATAGCAGCTAATTGTGCTACTATCGCCGCTGACTGTGCTACTACCGCACTATCTACTACTATCGCAGCTGATTCTGCTACTATCGCAGCTGATCGTGCCACTATCGCAGCTAATTGTGCTTTGCTGAAAGACTTACCTGAATCCTAGATCGCCAGCCTGAACGACAAATGGTTTCCCCTTGTTGCACCAATAGATTGAAGCGATCAACCACGGCAAACCCAATCCGAGAAAAACATTCACCGAGTTTGAGCCAGTCACATTTCCAACTGCATTGTCGGCTGAGTCATCCTAGATTTCCCTTTCAGTGATTTCTAAGGTGTGCTTACATTTTGAGCAGCAATCTTGCTTGCAAATGTATCCGGCAGAGAAGTTCCCAAAGCGACAAGAGTGATAGCTGTCACTGCATCCGGGATTCCGACCATGCAGCCAAAGATTGAAGCCACGTCACCTAAACAAGAATAATTATAAGTACATCTATAACTATTTTATGAAAATTGTTTTGTCTGAGGACCTGCTTGAGTAGTAGTTAATGACTTTCGTAAAAGAGGTGAGTTGAATGTCCTAGAATCTACAGGGTGACCGCGAATTATGGCGACACACCTTTTTTGGAAAAGCTGGCAAACGCCTGACCAAATTGCCAAGTGTTATATAGAAAAATAAAGCCCTTTATCTTGGCATCATTTATCTACAAAGGACTTCCCCTTTGGAATTATACAACTCATTTTGCAAGCTCTCGAATGAGCTCAAGTTCATTTGGAAACACCGCAAAAAAGGAAAAATTGAGCTTTTTCGAATCTCCATTTGACAAGAAGATCTTGCTGTATAAGCTTTGCTAGCTTTGGATTTTTGTTCAATGGTACTCTTAAAGTAAAATACGACAAGTTTGATTGAAAGAATCCTTTTCTAGATGCAAATATTGTGTGTCGAAAAGTGACAAAAACGGCAGGTCGCCGGAGAGAGGTTGTCTTGAGTTCGGGAGCTTGCAAAATGAGTTGTATAAATCCAATCGAGAAGTTCTTTGTAGATAAATGATGCCAAGATAAAGGGCTTTAGTTTTCTATATAACACTTGACACTTTGGTAATAGGTCAAGCGTTTGGCAGCTTTTCCAAAAACTTTTCTAAAAAGGGTTTTTCAAATGCTTTAAAAGGCCACAGTTAAATAATAATTATAATTAGTATACCAAAGGCTTTTCCAAAGTACAAGTTTTCCATACTTTAGCTTTTTGAAGTTTTCTAGACAATCTCGGCAATTGATTTGACTGCTCTGTGATTCTTTCTTGAGGTATCTATCTTTTGGGTGTGTTTTGAGTGGTGTCCTGGGCAATTATTGTGATTTTGTTTTGTCGCTATTCAACTGAATAAGGCATATATATGTTGTGTCCGATTTAGATTTCCGTCCGATTTAGATTGAACTTATCGCGGACGTCCGATTTAGATTACAGTCTATATCGGACGTCCGATTTAGATTCAATCTAAATCTTAAATAGATTGAACAATAATACGTCTTGTATAGATTGAACAATAATATAAACATGCTTAATATATGTTCTTAAGCGTTTTCTGTAGTTTTCTGCATTTTTCAAAGGTCTTTTATTGATTACAGTCTATATCGGACGTCCGATACAGATCGAACAATAATAAACGTGCTTAATATATGTTCTTAAGCGTTTTTTTGCACTTTTCTGCGCTTTTCAAAGAATTCAGATGTCACAATAGCATGTTCAAGATGCCACAAAGAATTCAAGATGTCACAATGTCACAACTCTGCAATTCAAGATGTCACAATAGCCTAAGCTGCAAAAATAAATAGAAATTTTTAACTCGTTCGTTGTTGTTGTTAGTTTTTTGTTGTTATATGTTGTAATTTTGCATCTATTCTGTTAACGCTAATAAATTGTTTCATAGTTGGGTTTTCTTTTCAGAAAAAGACAATAAAATTTCCTTGAAAAGCGCAGAAAATTGCAAAAACGCTTAAGAACATATATTAAACATGTTTATATTATTGTTCAATCTATATAAGACGTCCGATTTAGATTGAATCTAAATCGGACGTCCGATATAGACTGTAATCTAAATCGGACGTCCGCGATAAGTTCAATCTAAATCGGACGGAAATCTAAATCGGACACAACATATATATATAATCTCAATTAATTTCTAGCTTTTTGAATGAACTGACCTACGACAGCGGTCACAAATCCAATGACGATCAGCGCGACAACGAAGCACAACCAACCACTGGCAAAAGTGGGTGGTGGGATGAAAGCGAAACAGAACTAAATTTTGAATTGGCATCAATCTAGTGTTCTAGTGGCTAGATTTGGACTACAAACCTTCCATGGGAAAGCCAATCCATGCATCAAACAGTCCATCACTGTTGCATTGGCCACATCGCCAGAGTTGACCGAAGCCGCGTTCACGATTTGCTCTTTCCAGGTTGCCTGAAAGAGTTAAAAGTTTTCAGGATTGTAACAAGCTTATTCTTTGAGTATACTTTGTGCTAATTGAAATAAACCCTTTCTGGCACACCAATCATGGCAATGATTTGGAGTAGGCTAGAAAGATTATGTTTCTAGAAAGAGAGTAACCTCAAAGTACGGTCAAAGAACAAGTCAAAGGATTGCTTCAAAGATTGACAGTATGGGAGGAGTGCAAAATGCAAGAATATGCAAGAATTTGACTCAAAAACAACATTGAACTTTGGTTTACCATTGGTGTTTCTCCGGAAAGCTTAACAATGTTGATAGATGGAAAAGGATTGCTTCAAAGAATTTACCTGTCCTGGTGTCATCCTCTTCAAATAATATCCGACTAATTTCCTTGTATTCGTTATGTTTTTCAGGACATTATCGTCAGAAATAATTGTGACGATTGTTCGCTTCTTTGAGCCGATCGTTGTTTCTGAATAGTTATTTGCTTTTGGAATTGGAATTGTCATGGAATTGTCCCAGTAACTTAAGCAGTTAAGTATTCAGTCAGCAATCCAGTAACCGATACAATACTGGAATCTAAAGAATACTGGAATCTAAAGAATACTGGAATCTAAAGAATGTTGGAATCTAAAGAATGTTGGAATCTAAAGAATGTTGGAATCTAAAGAATACTGGAATCTAGAGAATACTGGATCTAAAGAATACTGAATAGCTTTACTCTAGTGAATTTAAAGAATCACGCATCTACAGTGATGTCCTGTGTCTCGAAACGGCTTGCAAAAGACTTTTTACTCTAGCTAACAAGAGATTCAAACCTTACATTACCTTTATTACAGCTACGACACTTCAAAGTTATAGTATTTTTATAAATTATACAAATTTGTTTACCTCTATCATCGGTTCCAAGCAATTCCACCGAAAACGTTTCATCTTTTTCATCTTCTTTGTCATCGAACACCTCGATATCAATATATTTCTCATACTCCTGACCTCTAAAATTCTTTCTATATGATTTCATTTTCTTTGTGATTTACCTAAACTGCAAACTTGCATTCTTGTGTGGCGCGTAATCCGACTGAGCATTTGCCGTGATGTCCTCTGTCTCAAAACGGACGCCCAAATCGTGTGGGGATTTGGTTTTTCCTCTTCTCGAGACAAAGACACGAACCCAGCCACAGTTCTCTTTGCAAACCTAAAAATATGAATTTTGGAATAAATACTTTCCATATTATCCATATAGACAAAAAATCCTAGACTGATTAAACTGTTCAGAAAGTCTTTTTGTTCCTTTCGTTTAAAACATAGCGTACTCAATTGTAAACCAACATGTTTAGCTAACCAACATGTTTAGCAAACAAATAAGTGTTCAAAACTCACATAGTTGCTCTTAACAAACTCGACGTTGGGCACCCCAGTGAACGAGTTCGATTCATCCGGACAACGCACTCGAGCCACATTGCACTCGCCAAGTTTTGTCTTGTCACCGTCTTCTTGTTCCTGAATCCTTTATTGTAAAGCCTTTATTGTAAAGCCTTTATTGTAAAGCCTTTATTGTAAAGTCTTTATTGTAAAGCCTTTATTGTAAAGCCTTTATTATAAAGCCTTTATTGTAAAGCCTTTATTGTAAAGTCTTTATTGTAAAGCCTTTATTGTAGCTCTTTTATTGTAGCTCTTTTATTGTAAATCCATTTTAGATTTCGAGAATTCGAGAATTTTTAGAATACTTACAACAATCTTGAGATGAACATAGAAAACGGTGTTCGGTCTCCAATCAGCTCCATCTACCAGATCAATCGTGATCTCTTTTGTTGTCTCGTGCTCAGCAAAACGAATGTTTTCAATCTAAAGACAAATTTGCAGATGAATTGTTATTATATGAAAATTACTTTTGGCAAATAGTGTAGATCTTTCTTCGCAATCCCGTCAACAGTACTGTAGTTGATGGTTAGCGCTTTGTCTGAGATTCCACGACGTTCCACCTGAAGTTTAAGCTTTAAAATAGATCCAGAACAGATCTAGAACAGATCTAGAACATGATACTTTGTAAGTTTACTTTAAAAGTTACAATTGAACAATACTTACAGTCAACTTCACTCTCTTGTCACCTTGTTGCACCGCGTAAACCCGAGCCGAGAACTCGACGCGTTGCTTGAGAGCTGAAAATTAGCAAGTTTCTGAAGTTTCTGAGGCCGAAATCTGATCAACAAAAGAAAGTTTGATCTTTTCTTTTCCATACCCTGCACAGCTGCATCCGGAGCCGTTTTCTGTTTCTCTTCGATTTCCTCAACCTCTTTTTCCGAATCGCTTTTCTTCCAAGATGACGTCATCTCACGAATTGCTCGAATACGATAGTAAAGACGATCGTGAACCTGAAACTTGTCTTACTAAACAGATTTTAGTAAGAATTCTAGGTATTATAAGGTTATATCTTCACATTGTGCAAAATTCCAAAGTTCATAACAGCTATTCTACAGGATGACCAAGAATTACCGCAACAACGTCGTATTTTACCTGTTTTTTACCTGCTTACCTGCTTTTATGGTTTATGTGTATTTTTCTTATTTTATGGTATGATTTAATAACCGCCAATGGAAAGATCCCGTTGATCTTTGTTCTTCAAGGTGTGAAAGTAAATGCGGTCAATTATTTGGACTTGCTCAGAGAAGGAGGTTGTTCCGTGGGCCACTTCAAAAATCGACTTTGGACTTATCAACAAGATGGTGCGCCGGCTCACAAGGCAAAGAAAGTGCAAGAGTTTTGTTCAAAGACCTTCCCGGACTTCATCTCATTTTCTGAGTCGCCACCCAGCTCTCCCGATCTTAACCCATTGGATTACTCAGTCTGGAGTGTTTTTGAAGTCAGAGCATGTGTAAAACTACATAAAAATATCGAAAGTTTTGAAGAAGGCGCTTATCAAAGCATGGATACCCTCAATGATGCCTATTTACTCGCCACTCAGAGTGCTCGCCACGGTCAACGCGTTTCCCAAACGTTTACAGGCCTGTCTGAATGCCGATGGAGGCAAATTTGAATTTAATTGTTAATTTGTTACTGTTATATGTTGAATAAAGATATTTAAGTTAACTTTTTTAAATGGTTTGCATATTTGGTTAAAAGCCAGGCCTTTTGTGTATTGCGGTAGTTCTTGATCAACCGTAATTCTTGGTAATTCTTGGTTTAATCAAAGCTATAGCCTGAATAAAAGTTAATGGCTCTACTCAGAGTTCTTTTCAAGGACAATACAAGGCTGTATACGGCTAGATGATGCAATCTTACACTGAATCATAAATACTACTTATGCCTAGTCAACTTGTGGGTCTGATAGCCTTTTATTATGTTCCCAACCTTGTTCTTGTTGAGTCGATACGCGAGGATTTTTGCCTGATCCTCGGCTTCGAGCGCTGGATACACTTTAGCCACATCTCTCGCCATTTTTCTCACATCCTCTGTGTCGGGAGTTGGCAGTGCGTCCATAACTGACTAAAAATAACTTTCGAAAAACCAAACCTCCATTTCCCACCTCTCCATCACAGACACTCAATCTCCTCGCGACATTCTTGATCTCAACATCCAACTTCTGAGACGCTTTCTTTGGTTGAACGTCCTGGAGTTTGGCTTAAGATGGCTAGAGTTTTGTGATCTACCTCGATGTCTTGCAATTCCGTCTCCAAATTCGCTTTCTTGTTCTTATTCCAAATCTCGATATCAGCTGAATAAGAGGCAGCAACGAGAATGACAAAGAAGAAAAGAGTGAGGAAAGCCTCCCAAACATCGACAACATTCGGGGTGATCCAGGATAAGATCTAGAATTGAATTTTGGCTGTTTCAAGTGCCAAATGACAGCATTTTCTTTGAACTCACGATTAGCAGCCAAATATAGGCAAATGTTCCAAAGAAAGCCGTCACACAAAACACTTTAAACATCGCGATTCTCTTTGTTTTGTTCCCGACGGCCAAGACACAAATGGCTGAGATGCAGAAGAGATTGAAAGCAGCAGATCCTGAAATCGACTGATTATATGAAACACAACAATCAGGTATAGTCATTAGCAGAATATCAACATGTTTAGCAAGCTTTATAGAGCTTGATTATCTCTCGTAGAAGTTAGTTTACAGATCTTGTTGTTTTAGGAAAGCAGGATCGAAACAAATTGTTATTAGGCTTTTCAGAAAGTATTTTTGTTTGGCTGTAGATGTTTGGCTGTAGATGTTTGACTGTAGATGTTTGGCTGTGGATGTTTGACTGTAGATGTTTGGCTGTAGATGTTTGGCTGTAGATGTTTGACTGTAGATGTTTGGTTGTAGATGTTTGGCTGTAGATGTTTGGCTGTGGATTTATTATATCCAAATCTTCCTACCAACGATCGTTCCCGGTCCCAAGTCTCCTGCATGAAAGTTGTTCCCGACAATCTCGATGCACGAGAGAAGAATCTCTGGCGCTGAACTGCCCAAGGCCTAAATTTATGCTGTTTTATTTATGCTGCTGTTTAATGGAATCTTTTCTGTATCCTTTTAATACCAACCATTAGTGTTAGATTGGCCACAGTGGGATTCCACACTCGAACTTCTTCATACTCATCAGAATCGGGTTGATGAGCCGAGTCAACGAGTTTTCCAGCCTCTTGTTTTACTTTTATTTTCCTGAAAAATAAAATGATTAGTTAGAGGTTTAAAAACTGTAAGCTATTAGTCTCTACTTTAGAATATTGTAGTGAATAACTAGAAGAACAACTAGAACCGTTAGAACAGTCGACTAGAAGAACAACTAGAACAGTCGACTAGAAGAACAACTAGAACAGTCGACTAGAAGAACAACTAGAACAGTCGACTAGAAGAACAACTAGAACAGTCGACAAGGAGAACAACTAGAACAGTCGACTAGAAGAACAACTAGAACAGTCGACTAGAAGAACAACTAGAACAGTCGACTAGAAGAACTAGAACAGTCGACTAGAAGAACAACTAAACGTCGACTAGAAGACAACTAGAACAGTCGACAGAAGAACAACTAGAACAGTCGACAGAAGAATAACTAGAACAGTCGACTAGAAGAACAACTAGAACAGTCGACTAGAGAACAACTAGAACAGTCGACTAGAAGAAACTAGAACAGTCGACTAGAAGAACTAGAACAGTCGACTCTTTCTATAACGGAATGAAAGAGACCAAAAAAGCTTTCCATTGTATAGAGCTTTCCGTTATATAAAGTGCCGTTTTATATAGTTTAACGTCGGCTGAGACAAAAATTTCATTCCGTTATATAGAGTTTTCCGCTCTATAGAGCTTTCCGTTATATAGCTCCGTTATAGAGAGTCGACTGAGTTATTATTTAAACTATTTAAAAACAAAGGCTTTGTTCGTTTTACAACCGGATATAGGTTTATGGTTGTTTTGAGGGAATGAAGGGAGATCAAAGGACTCTTTGAAGGAAAGAGATTGTGGTTGGCTTTATTAATACTGGTTTTGCTAGAGCTGATAGCTGAAAGTTGTTGAGCTTGATATAATATAATAACAAAACATATAATAATATACAGCCGACTCTCTCTATAACGGAATGAAAGAGACCAAAAAAGCTTTCCATTGTATAGAGCTTTCCGTTATATAAAGTACCGTTTCATATAGTTTAGCGTCGGCTGGGGCCAAAATTTCATTCCGTTATATAGAGCTTTCCGTTATATAGTTCCGTTATAGAGAGTCGACTGTATTTGGTAAGCCAAGCATAAACATTGATCTCTCTCCAGCTCTTCCTCACTTGGTTTTCGATGTGATCTTCTCAATCGCACACATGAAGATATCAGCAGCTATCGCTATCCCAAGAAAACAATAAAAAAGACCCAACAAATAGAGGAAAGCATTTCCATTTGTTGTCCTCAATGCGGGAATGATTATCCCATCTTTGCATTGCATTGAGGTGTTCACCATCTTGAATCACCCACTTTGCCTCAAATTGGTTATGAAGCTGGAGAGGTTTTTGGTTTACACCTGAAAATAAAACAGGATTTGTGAAACAAAAATGAAACAGCAAAATATCTAAAAAATAAACTAAAACATTAAGCAAAGCAATTAAAGAATCACTAATTTGAAGTTTCAAAATTTCAGTCCTTGAAAAGAAAATGAGTCACATAGGCGTTAGAGTTGATTTTTTCAAGTAGCGTTTTTGTAAAAAGAAAATTTGAGAGAATTTCTGGAAAAGAACATTTTCATTGCGTGAAAAACGTCACCAAACCTATTTTTTTCGAAAAAAATGTGAAGATTTACATTTTTGTGATGGGTTTTCGTGTTCAGGGATGACTCGATAAATAGAGAAAGAGGAAAACGATAAAAATTTGTTGACTTTTAGAGATGATCAAAGTAAACAAAAATTCTGGATAAATCATTGCTTGAAAATTTTGGGATAGGTAAACACTTTTGCAAGAGCTTTTGAGCTTTTGAAAGATTTGAGGCAAGATAGAACGCTTGTATTGGGTTGGTGAATTGAAAACTGCGGGCTATTGTCATATGTGACAGTTTGAGCACTTTCTTCAAAAGAAACCCATTTTGGTGTCAATGGAAAAGTTGTAGAGAATCAAAAATCAAGCTTATTTCCAAATTTTCAGAACGATTCAAAAACTGGTTTTCAAAAAAATGCCAAATTTACGAATTTTCACAAAACTTGCAACAAAACTTGCATTTTAAGCGAAACTACTAAGTGTATCTTTTTGGAAATTTGGCTATAAGCCTAATTTTTGATTCTCTACAACTTTTCCTTTGACACCAAAATGGGTTTCTTTTGAAGAAAGTGCTCAAACTGGGAGTCCAGTCCTCCATTCTCAAAGTCCAGTCCTCCATTTTTGAGTTTCTTCTTTCAATTCATCAAAGCATCCGTTCTATTGGGTTGATGGAAAAGTCCTTTCCGATTTTTTGGGAGAGTACCTTAAATTTATCCAATTTTGACGTTTTATAGCTCATCCTAAAGCTGAATTCAAGACGGATCGATTGGTAAAAACCGTTTTGAGATATCTCTTTTTCAAAAAAAAATTGAAGCTATTTTAGTAAAGGGCGGCAGAGCCAAAAAATGGCTGTTTTCACGTTTCGTTAGTTTTCCGTGCAGAAACTTAGGCTAAAAACATGTGTTTCGTGATCAGCGTCAAAAATAACCCCTAGACACGCTTTTTCAGTTTTGCCCAAAAAAATCCTTTTATAGAAGCGTGCCTCGTTTTCGAGATGCGGAAATTTCAATACCGTTTTTCCCGAAAACTAGCAATCCTTAACAAAATCCGAAAACACCATTGTATTGGGTTGGTGAATTGAAAACTGCGGGCTATTGTCATATGTGACAGTTTGAGCACTTTCTTCAAAAGAAACCCATTTTGGTGTCAATGGAAAAGTTGTAGAAAATCAAAAATCAAGCTTCTATCCAAATTTTCAGAACGATTCAAAAACTGGTTTTCAAGAAATGCCAAATTTACGAATTTTCACAAAACTTGCATTTTAAGCGAAACTACTAAGTGTATTTTTTTGAAAATTTGGCTATAAGCCTAATTTTTGATTCTCTACAACTTTTCTAACTTCGAATATCTCAAGTTCCTACTAGAAACTAGAGTTGTGACGAAAACAGTTTTGCTGTTGACAATTTAAGGTTTTTCCCAGCACCAACCCTTTGATTTTGACTATTTTGACTATCATTCGATTCAGAATAAAATTGCGCGTCGAATGATACCAAAATTAACTTAAAATATAATATCCACGCAAAGTTATGAGACAAAAACCTAAACCCCGCCCATTATGCACCGGACTTAACCTTTTGTCTCATAACTTTACGTGGATATTATATTTTAAGTTGATTTTGGTATCATTCGATGCGAAATTTTATTCTGAATCGAATGATATTTAAAATAGTCAAAATCGAAAGGTTAGTGCTGAGGAAAACACGAAGAACCTTAACTCGCCAACGGCGAAAAGATCGACAGATTTTGTTACAAGTTTACTGAAAATCACAGGCTAAAAGTATAATCAGCTAAAGATAATAAAGGTTTTTGGCATCATTTCGGGTTCGGACCAACATTTCGGCTAATCAATCAACCTCCTGTCACGAAATTTTCACTTCACTAAAGAGAAAAGAGATTTTCTAAATCTATAGCCTATAGAAAGACCTATAGAAAGAGAAAGAAAGAAAACCTATAGAAAGAGAATCGATAGCCACACTTTTCTAGTCTTTATAGATCTATAGCCACACTTTTATAGCCTTTATAGGTCTATAGCCACGCTTTTTTAGCCTTTATAGGTCTATAGCCACGCTTTTTTAGCCTTTATAGATCTATAGCCACGCTTTTATAGCCTTTATAGCCACGCTAAACCTTCTTTAACAATTCAAAGCCATTAAAAAGAAATTCTGAAAATACGGTTACTCGATAAAATTTAGAAAGATGCAGAAAGAAAAAAGGAAAAATTAAAAATCGACTTTGATTCCTTGTAACTATTGCTAAACTTGCATGAACTTTTGCAAAAAAAGCTTCCAATAAAGTAGAAAAGCTTTTCTAGAATCTTTTAAGATTCAAAAGTACAACTAGAGTAAAAAAAAATGTCATAAAATTTGTTTTTAAAATCACTTTTTCTGGGTAGCGGTTTTTCTTTTCTCTTTTCGGCGACTTGCCAAAAAGCAAACAAAAAGGAGTACAAGCGAAGAGGAAAATTGAGGAATTCCTTTGGAGTTTTTTGAGGAAAAAAGGAAAAGAAAGTAAAAGAATCGATTTCAGCCACTTTTTCGTCTCTTTTGGCGTTCTTTTGCTCTTTTTCTGTTGTTACTAGTTAGTTTTTCTTTCATCATCCAGTGTTTTCCAGTCAAGCTATAATATATAGCGATCTCATAAAGCTTTAGAAAATTTAAAATCCATAAAATCCATAAAATCTTCTAAAATATTGTAAAAATGAAAATTTCAAGTACGTTTTTAAACAAATAAATCAGAAAATTTATATTTTTGGCGTCGAGACAGAAATTTTGATTTGTTGCAATCAAATTTTGATTTGTATCTAAACTAAAACAATATAAATTGTTAATAAAGAGCAATAAAAAGAGCAAAACAATAAAGAGCAATAAAAAGCTGAAAATTTAAGCTACAACTAACTAAATAAGTAGTAGAAACTAATTAGATAACTTTAAAATCAAGCTTTAAAATCAATTTTAGTCTTTAGAATCAATTCTAGTCTTTAGAATAAGATTTAAATGTGGAAAATTGTTGTAAAAATGTTTTATAATAAGTTCGACCGCAAAAGGCTTTGTTTGTTCATCGATTTGGGAACACTTTTGTCAGATTTCAATTCGAATGTACGAAAATTTGAATGTAAAAGCTTTCTTTGTCCCTTTCTCCAAAACAAGCAAGTCTCGTGGGAGTTGGATTTCGAAAAAATGACTAGCAGAGTTTAGCTAAATCGTTTTTATTGCAAATTGTATCGCAATACAAATTGTAATATTGGGTTGGTGAGTTGAAAACTGCGGGACTTTGAATTAAAATTTATTCAACATAAAACCATGAATTCATTTCAAATAATTTCCATTATTATTGACGACTTCTGCCCATTTTACAGGCAATTTGCGGATTCCTCTTTCGTAGTAGGATTTTGGTTTGTGTGTGAGACAAGTGTGAGACTCAAAAATGGAGGACTGGAGATGTCAGCTGTCAGCCCAGTTTGAGCACTTTCTTCAAAAGAAACCCATTTTGGTGTCAATAGAAAAGTTGTAGAGAATCAAAAATTAGGATTATAGCCAAATTTCCAAAAAGATACACTTAGTAGTTTCGCTTAAAAGGAAAGTTTTGTTGCAAGCTTTGTGAAAATTCGTAAATTTGGCATTTCTTCAAAACCAGTTTTTGAATCGTTCTGAAAATTTGGATATAAGCTTCATTTTTGATTCTCTACAACTTTTCCATTGACACCAAAATGGGTTTCTTTTGAAGAAAGTGCTCAAACTGTCACATATGACAATAGCCCGCAGTTTTCAATTCACCAATCCAATCCAAATGCAATTTAAAAATCGTTTGTAATGCTAAATTGCTAAATTGCAATTGCACAGAGTTTTGGCTATGTAAAGCTACGTAAAGCTTTCAAAGAATCAGCTTAAATATTTGATGAAACAAACAAAAAAGGAAATCTCTTCAAAAGTGTTTAAAGAATGACAGCAAAGATTGAAAGAGGCGTCGAAAATTGGTCAAAAGGCTTAGGTTTACATAAAAAGGCGATTTACATCAAAGTCTAACCGATTTGGGTGTTTGAAGTGTGCATTGATCGAGAATAAAACCCTATTCTATTCTTTGTTTGATCGTTCTCCTATTTGTACAGGCCCTCAGCATCGGGTGCCTCTTTGGGATCAAATATATGTATCGAATACAACAAATTATTAGTGTTAGTACAAGAATTTGCTATTCAAAAAAGCTATTTTATAGACTTAAATGAGAATTGAATATTTGAATGGATTGAATGGGATTGGAAATGGGTAAAAACGAGAATCTAAAAGTTTGAGCTGGGTTTTTGAGGACTAATGGAATGGAATTTGAAAGGAAACCTTTAAAAGAAGGCACTTTAGGGTCGATTCTTGATGAAAATTGCTCTAACATTTTCATCGAGAATCTAAAATATAGGTTAAAGTGTTTTAAAAGGTCAAAATAAGCCTAGAAACAATAAAAACGATCCGGCTGGAGTCATGGGAATCTACCTAATTAATCTACCGACGTTAAGTATCCAAAAGATTCGATACGACAAAAGAGGCTGAAATTGATGAAAATTGGTTTTCTAGTTGAAATCTAGTTTAAGAG